TGAGTCTTAACTGACCTTAGAAGGCTAGGGCCAAAATGTTGGCTTTCCTTGTATCCCTCCTTTTTCTCTAATTTTGGTCTGCAAACAGGTTGTTAACCATCCAGAAGAAAAGCTTAAAGCAAGAGCTTTAACATACAGCTCTGTGCAGAACACTGGTGTATGTCTTGAAATTCAATCTCCAGCACTGCAAAAGAAAGCAATGGAAAAAAATAAATAAATAAATGGGAAAAAATCCCAAAGCAATATGGAAAAGATGGAAAACCGAATATAGATACATTATGGGAGATAAAACTTAATCCGTATCTCCCACCAAACTAAAAAATCATCTCCAAAATTGAGAATAGGCCTAAATGTTACAACAAAACAAGACAGGGCTGGGGAGATAGTTTGGTGGTCTAAGCGCCCACCTGGCAAGTACAAGGGCCCTAGTTCAATCCCTGGTACTGCATGCCATGCCAGCCCTTGGAACCAGGTGTGGTAGCGCATATCTGCAAGCCTAACGCTGGGGAGGCTAAGACAAGAGGATCACTATGAGTCCAAGCTGCATAGCAAGACCCTGTACCAAATCAATCAATCAATCAATCAATCAATCAATGCTTTTAAAAAAGTTTAAAAGCAATAAAAAAAACCTCTCCTGTAACAATTCTTTAACAAAAATTAGCCATCAAATTAAATACTGATGAACTAGAGAATAGTAAAACTAAGAACGTCTGTTCATCAAAGACAATACTAAAAAGAAATGCAACCTGTTCTCCTTGTTCTTCAGCGCTTACCCTCCGTAGTTCCTTATTACTTTCTAATCTCCAGGATTTGAATTCGCTGCCATGTCTTCTGAAGAAGGGAAGCTCTTCGTCGGTGGGCTCAATTTCAATACAGACGAGCAGGCACTGGAAGACCACTTCAGCAGCTTTGGCCCTATTTCTGAGGTGGTTGTTGTCAAGGACCGGAAAACTCAGCGATCCCAGGGTTTTGGCTTCATCACCTTTACCAATCCAGAGCATGCCTCAGATGCCATGAGAGCCATGAATGGAGAGTCCCTGGATGGTCGCCAGATCTGTGTGGACCATGCAGGCAAATCTGCCCGGGGCACCAGAGGAGGAGGTGCTTTTGGGGCCCATGGACATGGTCACAGTTACTCTAGAGGTGGTGGGGACCAAGGCTATGGGAGTGGCAGGTATGACAGTCGACCTGGAGGATATGGATATGGTTATGGGCGATCCAGAGACTATAGTGGCAGCCAGGGAGGCTATGACCGATACTCGGGAGGGAATTACAGAGACAATTATGACAACTGAGAGGCTTGAAGACATGACATGCACAAGGAATAACACTTCTCATCCAGGATCGTCCTTCCAAATCGCCGTATAAAGATTTTTGAAGCCGTGCTGAAACTTGATTAGTATATTTACTATTTT